TTATTTTATTATTTTTATTTTATGTGTATGTGTGTATTGCTTGCATGTAAGTGCACCCGTGTTGTGCAATGCCTGAGGAGGACAGAAGGGGCTGTCAGATCCCCTGGAACTGGAGTTACAGGCAGTTGTTAGCTGCCATGTGGGTGCTGGGATTTGAACCCAGGTCTTCTGCAAGAACAACCAGTATTCTTAACTGTTGAGCCATCCAGCCTTCTTCATATCCCTTTTCTAAACATGCTTGCTTTAACGCTTTGGGCTGCCCTAGCATCTCATATTTCTTTATTTTTTTCTCTAAAGCTTCCTTCACCATGTGACTGCCAGTCAATCATGTGTCTGATCTCGATGCTGGGTCCTAGACCTGCGTGGTATCATGGCTTTTTTCCTTCTCCTCTCCATCCTCCTCAGATAAGCTGCTGAGGTTATTAGCTCACCTGCCCTGGGGATGTGGTGCACACCTTTAACCTCAGCACTTAGGAGGCAGAAGCAAGCAGATCTCAATGAGATCAAGGCCAGCCTGGTCTACATAGGGAGTTCTAGGCCAGCTGTGGCTATGGGAGACCCTGTCTCAAAAAGACCAAAAAAGAAAAGAAAAGGAGAGAGAGAGAGAAAGAGAGAGAGATTAAAAAGCCACTGTCAGAACTGGAGAGATGGCTCAGTGGTCCAGTGCAGAAGATCTGGGTTTGTTTCCCAGCACCCACATGGTGGCTAACAACCATTCATAACTCCAGCTCCAGGGGACCCAACGCTCTCTTCTGACCTCCGTGGACATTGCATGACATTTATACACATGCAGGCAATACACACATAAACATAAAATAAAAATAACAAATAAAATTTTTTTTAAATAAAATATTTTGGGCTGGGCATGGTGGCACACACCTTTAATCCCAGCACTCGGGAGGCAGAGGCAGGCGGATCCTCTGTGAGTTCGAGGCCAGTCTGGTCTACAGAGTGAGTTCCAGGCAGCTGGAGCTACAGGGAGACCCTGTCTCTCATTCTGCAGAGCAGCGTGCTTGTGCCACAGTAGCTGGTTTCTGGAAAGGCCTGGAAGCATTGCTCTAACAAGGGAGCTGCAAAGTTTTCAACATCTGGGGCAGGGGAAGTGTCCCTAAAAGCCAATGAGCATGTTTAAGAGGCAGATTAAAGTGGAGCTAATTCAGCTGGTGATGAGGCCAGCTTGTACACCTCCTGCCTGGGGAACTCACCCCATTGCTGGAGTGGCTACTGACTGGGATACCAAGATCTGCCTGCTCTCTTCTCTGACCCTCACTCTTCAGGAAGCCCCAGACTGCCAGAAGTGGTCCTTCTCCCCCTCCTCAGAGAAATGCTGAGCTCTGAAGTTGTTGTGGGAATGGGGGAATCTTCACATAACCAGAGTAGGTTCTGTTCCAGAAGCTTCTAGCCCAGTGCCTTGGCCACCTGTTCTGACTCCCTCTACCCCTGCCTGCTCCCAAGGATTGGATTGGCTCCTGCAAGGCAGAGGCTTGTGTGTCCGGCAGAGTTGGTACGAACCTCAGGTTCTAAGGCTGGGCCAGGCTGTTTGATTTATAGGAACCTCAGTTTCCTCATCTGTAAAATGGGAGGGACTATAGCACAAACCTTACTTGGAACTAGCCTGGATAAAACAGTAATATAAAGCCAATACTTTAGCTGTAAAAGTGAGAAACTTCAGTGGAAGCAGATCTTAACCTTAACCTCTCCTGGAGACCCTATGGGGGAACACTCAGGCTTTCACTGTGACTTATAGCTTTCCTGTCACTCCCAGATGACATCTGGACAAGCCTGTCTCAGACGGTGGAAGCCAAGGTTCCCAGAGCACCCCAGAGATCCAGAGGTGACAGGAGGGTGAGCTGGATGGGGGCTGGGTGTCACTAAGTGGAGAGGACGGCTTGCCTTCCACATGGGTCCCATGTGGCAACTGGGACTGGGCAGTGCTAAGCTGAGGGGTTGTGGCGAAGACTTTGGCAAAGGAAACTAACAACCAGACCCCTTTCTCTAGAGACGTCCCTGGGGGCAGAGCAGGTAAGGACCCCTGGAGGCTCAGAGTGGGTGGTTGGTGGTTAGGAGTCCCCAGATGGGTCCTTTGAGCTGCCAGACCCTGTGGAAGAGTCCTGGGTAACTTTCAGGGTGTCTGAACTGGGTGTGGAGGAAGAGACAACAGGGGGCAGCTCACAGTGGACCCAAAAGTGACATCACTCCAGGACACTCAGCAGAGTGGGCAGCAGTACCCTGTGCAGAGAACTGGCTCCTAGGGGTGCCCTCTGGCCTCTGCATGCTCAAGGTCCCTCACTTTGGAGGGGGCCCTCACCTCCCCACACTAGAGGCTTGTCCCGTTTCTGGGACACCCTTCCTGCCTAACCTCATTCGAAGAGTCCCTTGGTTTCTCAGGGCACAGTCTGATCCTGTACGGGGCGGAGCTGGCTCCTCCCAAGAGGCCTGGCAGGCGGGGGACAGGTGGCAGGCGGGCCAACTCACCTAGCAGCAGGTTCATGAGTACCTCCTGGCCGGCCAGTGTGCTGCTCCTTACCAGGCAGAGGATGGTGCCCCCGATCCAGGGGATGCCATGGCCTGTGATGCCAATGAGCTTGACCATGGAGCGGGCGCTGGCCCAGGACGCAGCCCGGCCAGCACACACCCCCAGTCGCTTGGACATGCAGATATCAATGGCCAGCAGGGAGTTGAAGGCGATGCCCTTGAACGACGGGTTCAGCTGCATGCAGTCTTCCTCGGGCAGCTGCTGTGACTGGCGACGCTCCCGAGTCCCATCGGCAGAGGGTGGGGGCTGTGTCGAGGGCCCTGAGGCCTTCCTGCCCGAGCTTCGGGGCTCCGGGGTCCCTTTGGGGGGCTGGTTCAGGGACAGGAACTCAGCTCGGTTGAGGACATTGTTGCGGTCCCGGGCACGAGCCCGACTCTGGGAAACTGGCATGGTGACCTCGCTCACTCTGAGAAGGCCGATGCCAGCCTAGGTCCGAGGGCCTTGTCCCCGAACAAGAGCCACCAGCGTGGCTTTGCCTCCCTGCCTTCTCTGTAGCAGCTGTTAAATACAGAGTGAACGATTGCACATGGCTGTTTACCTCCGGCTGTCACCAGGCTCCGAGGGGATGGCAGTGCCAGCCGGGCAGCCAATGGAGCCCACCCTTGCGGGGCCAGCGCCAATGGAGCCACAGGGGAGGTGGACGAGTCCGCAGCTGAGGCCCGGCTGCCTCGGGCCTGGGCTATTTAAATCTGCCAATGGCTGGTTCTTGGGCTCTGAGGGACTCTGGGAAATGTAGTTCTGTTCTGGATTCTGCTGGCCTCCTCTCTGGCCCAGGCAGAGATGAACCCGGAATTAACCTTTACTTTTACCAACTGCCCTCTGATCAGTCCAGGCCCTCAGGAGCCAGGCCCCCCTGTCCCCCTGGCTGGGCAATGGGGATCTAGTCCCTGGGACTGGAGGGAGTTCATGATGTCACTCAGAGCACCCCACTTGGGTCTCTGGGCCAGGCCGACTCCTTTTGTGACAGCATTTTGTGAAGCAGCCAGGCACGGTTGTCTTTCTTTCTCTTTTTAAAGCCAGCCTTCAGTTGCTGTAGTGAATCGCAGTGTAATCGAATGACTGTTATTAGAGACAGGGGTAATTAATTCATAATAGATACGCCTCTTAGGGGTTGTCCCCAGTACTTGGAGCTGTGCAAAACGCATGAACGCTCCAGCAGCTTTGGGTGGCCTATACATAGTTATGGAGCTGTTGGCTCTATGCTAGGAACAGTGAACCCGTTCCCTAAGAATTGGGAAGCTTAAGGTTCCTTGGGGGATTGAAATGACACATAAATAACTCAAAGTGTGATCTGGGCTGACTGGCTGGAGGTAGTGGATAGCTTGGTTCAAGAAGGAAGAATATCTAAGAAGTTGGGGAGGGACAGTCAGTCCCAGCAGCTGGCGCATGGGAAAGGAGAGGTGTGTATTCCAGAGAGGGCCCCAGAAGGCCTGCTGAGCACATGGGGTTTGAGGGAGGTCTCCTGTAGCTCCCTGGGTAGTTTCTGGGACTCCAATGCCTATGGCTGTTTTCAGGCTGTCTGGTCATGGGCTGGTAAGGGGAAGCCACTCAGTGTGATTGGCAGAGGTCAGAATTCCCCTGGAACTAGAGTTATGGTTAGCCACCATGTGGGTGCTGGGAATTGAACCCAGGTACTCTGCAAGAGCAGCCAATGCTCTTAAACACTGAGTCACCTTTCCAGCCCCTAACTGACACCATTTAACCAACATCCCTGAGAAGCAGTTGTGATGACTCCACTGTACAGATGTGGAAGCCGAGGTTCAGGGAGATGAAGGCATCCAGCCAGAAACCAAAAAGAAGGGAGACTCAACTCCTCAGAGGTCTCTGGTGTGGAGACTATGGGGGCCTTTGGGTTCAGATCCTTCAGGCCTCAGGAGCCTGGAAGCGTTAGCTCAGTTCTGTGCCAGGGAAGTCATTTTACCCTCCCAGGGTGGGGCCATGACCTGGGCTGGCCTCAGTAGAGGCCAAGGAGACCAGCCAGCCAAGACTATTAATACTGAAGGCTGTATCAGCATTTCATTCTGGGTCTAGTGGCCAGGAAGCTCTGTGGCAGCCATGAGGTCCAATTTATCTGTCAGTGGTTCAGACAGACTCCGGAGGACAGTCCTAGGTTCAATCCCTCGCTTAGCTGCCACCAGCTACGCCATTGCACCCCTCCAGGATTCTGTTTCTCTCCCTTGGAGGCTGGTGAGAAATTTATGTGAAAGGTTCACTCAGCCCAAGGGGCTGTGCTGGCCTCCCGTGACCAGGACCTGCTATTCTCCTCTGTATGCTGGGGTGTCTCTGGTCACCTTCACAGGCAGCTAGAGGCAAGCATGATGCCTCAATCCATTAGCCCTTATGAACACCTACCATGGGGCACACAGTCCAATTTCTCAAGAGTCTTGGCATTCGTTTATTTAGTCAATACTTTTATTGATCTCTTCCTACAGTTTATCTGAGGGGGCAGGACACACATCCTTGAAACAATGAGCTGGTTAAAAGACAGTATAATATTACCAATAACCCTAAATTTCTTCCTTACCATTAAAACATTTCTATTGCCAGGTGTGGTGGTGCATGCCTTTAATCCCAGCACTTGGGAGGCAGAGGCAGTCAGATCTCTGTGAGTTCAAGGCCAGTCTGGTCTACATAGTGAATTCTAGCACAGCTGGGGCTACAGGGAGACCCTGTCTCAAAAAGACCAAAAATAAATAAATAAATAAATAAATAAATTCTATTGACTGCAATAAATTTAATACAGTTAACAGTTAAAATCTCATCACTTGAAAATGAATATTGTTAATACAGGATGTCAGTTTAGAAAGAGATTATCACAGCTGGGTGTGGTGGCACACGCCTTTAATCTCAGCACTGGGGAGGCAGAGGCAGGCAGATCTCTCTCAGTTTAAGGCTAGCCTGGTCTACATAGCAAGTTCCAGCTGGGACTACAGGGAGACCCTGTCTCAAAAATACCAAAAAAAAAAAAAAAAAAAAAAAAAAAAGAAAGATTCTCACTTGCCCCATTTCCAATCATTGAAATATTTCATATCAACCAGGTATTATTTTAAAAAATAAAGAGCTAAATGTTAAACAAATGATATCTATGTATATCAGATGTATTTAGATATACAAATACATATTTCAAATATGGTCATGTCAGGCATGGTGGCATACATCTTTAATCCCAGCACTTGAGAGGAAAAGGCAGGCTGATCTTTGTGAGTTTGAGGACAGCCTGGTCTACACATATCAAGTTTCAGGCCAGTTGGTGCTATAAAGTTGAGGCCTTGTCTCAAAAACAAACAAGAAACAAAAAAGATCATGTAGTCTTTTAGAATATGACTTAACCTTTTTTTTCTTGGTCTTTTTGAAGCAGGGTCTCCCTGTGGCCCCAGCTGTCCTGGAACTCACTATGTAGACCAGGCTGGCCTTGAACTCACAGAGATCTGCCTGCCTCTACCTCCCAAGTGCTGGGACTCCCGGCTACGACTTACCTTTTAAAAAACAATTTACTTTTGGGGTTGGAGAGTTGGCTCAGTGGTGAAGAGCACTGACTGCTCTTGCAGAGGATCTGGGTTCGATTCCCAGCACTCATATGGTGGCTAACAACTGGCTATAACTCCAGTTCCAAGGAAATACTCTTCTGACCTCTGTGAGCTGTGCACAATGCGAGTGCACTTACACACATGCAGGCAATACACTCATACACATAAAGTAATAAATAAAATAAAATAATTTTCTTTTATTATTATTTGGTCATTTTGAGACAGGGTCTCCCTGTAGCCCCAGTTGACCTAGAACTCACTATGTAGACCAGGCTGGCCTTGAACTCACAGGGATCCACCTTCCTCTGCCTCCCGGGTGCTGGGATTAAAGGCGTGCACCACCACACCCGGCTATTTTTATTATTTTTAATTATGTGCATGTGGGGCTGGAGAGATGGCTCAGCAGTTAAGAGCACTGGCTGCTCTTGCAGAGGACCTGAGTTTGGTTCCCAGCACCCACATGGCAGCTAACAACTGTCTGTAACTCCAGTTCCAGGGGATTCGACGCCCTCTTCTGACCTCTGTGGGCATTGCCTGACACGGGTGCACTTACATACATGCAGGCAATACACTCATACACACAAAAAAAATAATTATGTGCGGGTGCATGTCTGAGCGTGGGTTTGTGTACATGAGTGCAAGAGCCCTCAGAGGCAAGAAAAAGGTGTCCCAGATTCCCTGGAGTTGGAGTTACAGGCAGTTTTGAGCCACCTGATGTGGGTGCTGAGATGGTAATCTCAAGTCCTCTGGAAGAGCAGCAAGTGCTCTTAACTGCTGAGCCATCGCTCCAGCCCTGACTTACCTTTTCACTTAACAAAATGGCCATATTTCCATGACAACCCCATTGTTTATGATTGCTAGACATGTTGTTATGTAGAGGGTTCATCATCTACATAACAGACCTTGAATTGTTAGTTATTTCTATTTTGTGGCTACTGTATTCAGAACTATTCTGGGATGGCCACACTCAGACATCCTTGTGTCTCCAGAACAGAATGTAAACAAGTATGAAGTAAAACAGGATGCTGGGGGCAGGGTTGAGCTAGCCTGAGCTGTTGCTGTGCCCAGACCTAGGGAAGCACAAAGACACAGGACCAGCCCAACTACCCTCTTTCCATCTTACTGGAGGTGACATCACCCATAAGCCTAGAGGTCCCAGCTGCTGATCTAATACATTCTTGGCCTGAGAGATGTGTTCCTGGCTACATGTGGCCCATAGCATCTCTGTACCCTGCCTGTGTGCTCTCATGAGATACAAATCACTTCCTGAGTCCTACTGTGTGCAAGGACCAATAGGAAGTGCAAAGGAGGGATGTGCACCATAGCCCATGTACATGGAAGACCTGGCTCTCCTAAGGCATCGCCTCCCTGGCCAGTCCCCTAGCCCTGCTGTTCCAGCCCTGCCAACTGCTGAGAACTGGGGTAGGAAGCTGCATCTTGCCAGGCCCAATGGCTACTACTAGGTTCCGACTCAGGACTATTGAAAGCCCTGTCCCTGACCATTTGACAATATTGGGAGTTTCTGGCAGCTGGTGCAGTTTGCTGTTTAGAATGTTTAAGACAAAGCCAACACTAATACTCATGAGCACATTTGCCATAAGCCATACTGAACAGCTGCTGTATATGAGTCTGCCTGTCTCTGTATTGCCTGCTTTAGCTACCAGAACAACCCTCTGCGTGGACAGGTGCTTTGTCCCCATCAGATCAAGGAAAAAATCCAAGCTCAGAGGCAGAGGGACTCTACCCAGGCCACAGAATGAGCAGCAGACTACTCTGGCATTCAAACCTCACCCTGTCTCCCGATTCCCTTCTTTTTTGTTTTGTGTTCTTTTTGTGTTTGTTAAAGTCTGTGTCATTTCCTAACACCCTCTACACACTGATTCTGCAAGTGTTGAGTGCCTTCAAAGTTCTAGCAAAGTGACAGCCCCTGAGAGCTGTGATTGTTGTCTATTCCGTCATGCTAGGCAGGTTCTGGCACACAGTAGGCACTCTGGAAACACAGAAAGACTGTATCCAGGGCCTGGCTCTAAGCAATTGTAGATGTGGTCATCAAAGCCCAAGAGCCAATAGAGGCTGCTATCTGCGGTACTGACCCCAGAAGAGAGAGGGAGGGTGGGTAAGAGGCTGGAGGGCACAGTGGGAGGGCCAGCCTCGTCCCCAGGAGGCCCGCCAGCCCGGTGGAGAGCGCCTTTCATCACCGCCTCCCCACCGCTGGCGCAGGCCGGGATCACTTTCTCAGTTCGCATTTCTAAGGTTATTTTGGTCGGGAAACCTGATCCTTCACTTGGTTTATTTTAGCACCTTGGAGAACTCCCAGTGCCGTGTACCCGATCCCAGCCGCGCCCAGCCTGCTGTCGCCCCCCTCTGTCTTTCCACCGAGGCGCAGCGCGTGGGGACCGCACAACCGGTAACGCGCACCTTCGCAGGGTCCCCAGGTCGCTGCCTCCCCTCTCTTCCCCCCCCACCCCCCACCCCTGGGGACCAGGGCCAGAGGAACACCATGCAGGCTCAGAGTCCCAGTCAGCAGCTGCGAGAAAGCTCCAGGCCTGCAGAAGCCCAGCCAGAGATGCACGGATGTAGGCGAGCCCGGAGCTGGCTATCCTTGATCCCCAACTCAGCCTCTGCCCAGCCCACTAGCCCCACACTTATTCAACACACACCCACACCCACACCACCCTTCCATAGACATGCACACACACCATCACACACTCACACAGGCACACATACAGCCAGAACACACCCAAACACACCTCACACACCCCATCACTGGTACTTGTACGCACACTGTCATACACTCTCCATCACATACACTACACCACAGGGGCTTCCTCACACCACAACACAGGGCATACACCCACACAAGCACAGACGGATGAGAGCACAGATAGCCAACCATGCACCCCTCACACACTAACTTCCTGAATGCTTCCCGCCACACACCATCCTTGGTGTGTGCATCTTTTACACACATCCAGTTCCATTCTGGACACACATCAAAACGACTTACTCATTCACTTCCTAATTGATAGCGATCGGTGCTTCCTCATAATGGTTATAAACATCAACTCATATTACTGATGCTAATTTATACCCTTCATTCAGGGATGTAAGTGCAGTTGACCGGGCAGGCTGCAGTCCCTAGTGTCCTGCAGATCCAGTGCCCAGTTAACATTGAAAAGGTTGATGAGGAGGCCCCAACTCCTAGGTTCACAGTCAGATCAGACGGTTGCTTTTGTACACCTGTCACTGCCTCTCTGGTGTCCTCAAAGGAGAGCAACACCATCACTGAGCTGGGTCCAGGAGGTTTGGGTTCTAGTCTGAGAGCCCTCTTGTTGAACTTACTGGACCTCTTTTCCCCGTCTACAGGGCAGCTTGTGGGACCAGCCCTCTAGAAGATACAGTCCCTCTTTACCTGGTCAGGCCCAGCCTGCTCCCTGTAGGTCCATCCAGCCTCACCTGTCTCTGCCTCCTTGCTTCTTGAAACCACTCCCTCCAACCAAAGGTGATGCCCACCTGAGCTGCCAGGCCTCTGGCCCCACCTATCTGTCCTTGGTGGCCATTCTAAGCCTCATTGGTTTCCAATATGGTTCTAACAGTTGGGAAGAGAACCGTGTCTCCCTAGGCAAGAGAACCCCAGTGTTTCACACTTCCCACCACAGGGAAGTGGTTTTCACTCAAAATGCCTTTCTGGACACGTGACCCTGCCTTTGGAGGTGATGAACTCTTAGCAAATCTGTTGTGGCCCTGAATGCAGGTTGGTCCAAGAGAGACAATGAGACTTGTGACTACCTGTGGTGGCCACTGAACATGAGGTCTCTACACCTTCAGGGACCTCTGGTGAGAGCCCCCCGCCCCAGTGACCCAGCCTCTGCACCTTGGAGTCACGCTGCCTGGTTCACACCACCCTCCTCTTTCAGCAGGCCTCAATGTCCTTATCTATACAATGGATGGTAACAGGGCCTAGTTTCCAGGGTCACTGACAAGGCCATGAAGGTAATGTGTGCAAAAGCCCTGGATCATAGTCTGCTCAGCAGGAAGATGCTGCCCTAGGGGTCCTTCCATGGATCTCTGAGGGCTCTGTGCTTGTTCAGGGCTTTGTACCACAGACAGCGTTATTTTTACCTCTGACTTGCTGTATGTGCCTTTGGGTTTTCATGATCTCTCTGGTCCAATGTACCAGGGCTGTTTTATCCTGACATCTCCTCTTTCTTCTTTCCTGGGGGTGGCTGGGGGTGGTATCGGGGGGGAGTATGCTTTCTGCTCTGCAAGTCCTCATCCTATGGATACCCAAGCACCTGCTCTGGCAAGACTTGCTAGGGGCCAGTTCATCTTAGCTCAGAGGGGCCAGTCTTAGCATGCAAGGGCGGCATGCTTGGTGGGGGACCTAAGTGTAACCCTTGGAGGGTGGAGAGATTGGGGTTGGAAATTCAGAAATCACTGTCCCCTAGTCTCCAGTTTTCTGGAGGTGTCTGTAGTTACCTCCCAGGGTCAAGGTAGATAAATAGTGGCATCTGACACACAGTGGGTGCTGTGGGTGTTCTATCAGCACCATCACAAGCCAAGACCAAGATGGAGCAGATGAAAGTATAGTTTTCAGCTGGCTTCAGGGGAACCCCTCCCTTGGAAATGATCGCCAGGTGTTTCCCTGTTCATGGGGTGGGGGTGTGCAGTGTAGACTATGGATTTTCTTAAGAGCTGCAGAACTCCTATGTTTCTAGAACAGCCTTGAACTTACTGGGACATGTTGACTGCCTTCAAGACCACTAGGGTCTGACAGGTTCCAGGCATTAGGGTGATGAGAGTTGAGACTGACACCCTCAAAGTTAATGTCTTCCTTCTGTATAAATGGAGTAGCATAGTGATCTGATTACATATAGGTGCTGCAAACTGTAAGGGATCCCAGAGGAGAAGAATGCAGTGTAGGAAAGACCTGCGGGCTCTCAGGTCAGGAGAGACTTCCTGGAAAACTTCCTTTGGGGTTCTTAGGGGACCCATGTTAGTTGGATGTGAAAAAGGACAGTGCCTCAGTAGTTGGGGACATGTTCAGTAGCAATGGTCAGGTTGACAGTGGTTGGGGGAAGGCAGTAGCCACCTTACCTGGCTGTTTCGGACTGCGGCTGAGTTGGTGCTCAGCTAGTTTGAGATGAATTCTTCCCAGACAGCTACCAACCCCCTCAAAGTTTCAGAGATGTCCCTCCAGGGGCCAGCACTCCCAGGCACTTAGCATGCTCTAGCCCTGGGATTGGCCGGAAAGTACCTGTTCTGCTGTCCGCTGTGGGTACCCCTGAAAGTCTGAGTCACGGGGCTCTGGGGGAAGTGGTGGGCATGGTTTCAGTACGGCTGCCAGGTTTTCTGATGTCACAAATTTTTCTTTAACTAGAAAATTATTGTAGGGTGGGGGTGGGGCTACTGCCTGAGGCTACTTAGATTTCTTGCTCTCCCCTCCCCAACTGCTGTCTAGGCATGAACTCCTTTTGAATCTCAGCTCTGAGGTCACCAAGTTGTCTCAGGAGAGACACCTGCCAGTTTGGGGTGGTAGGCAGGTCTTTTAGTTTTCCCACTTGGAATTTTTCCTCTGTGGAATGTTTTAACAAGTCTTCCCACTCAGGGTGGCTGATGGATGAAATAAGGCTGTGTAAGAGTGTCACACACAGGTCAACTGGTTGACTAACCACTTTGCAAGTGGGAAGGACCAACACTGGGGCGCGGGGGCAAGTTCTCTCCCCAACCTTCCCAGACCTGAAGCCAGCCACCGACCCCTGCAGCCAGGGTTCCCAGGGCAGTACAACAATTCTCGTGAGCCTCGGAAAGCCTCTGGCTTGTAGAGGTCAAAGGGCATTAGGAACAGCCCCCACCCCAGGACCCGAGACGGACGCTGAACTACACTACCCAGAATTCCTAGGGCTAGCAAAAAAGGAAATGTCGTTTATGCAAGGACAGGCTCAACTCCCCCAGCAGCTGCAGAAAGGGAGAGAAGGGAGTCGGGGAGAGGAATTACCTAGGGGAGGGCGCGCTGTGCGCAGGAGCGAGGGTGGAGAGCAGGGAGGGCGGGGAGGAGGAGGCGGCGCCCGCCCGCCGGCCGCCGCCTGCGGACCTGCATCCCGCGGGGCGCGGGAGCGGGCGGCGGTCCTGCGTGCGCCTGCTGAGCTCTGCCGGGCGGTTGCGGGTGGACGCGGGGGCCAGGCCGGCGCAGGGGCCGAGTTTCTGCAAAGTTTGACCTGGTTGCCTTTCCGATGCTGCAGCAGAGCGAGGCAGTGCGGGGCGCGCCAGGCGGCTGCGGCGCGGCGGCGGGGCAGAGCGGCGACAGCGCGCTCACAATGATCATAAAATAAAGGAGGCGCGCGGGGTGGGGGCACGCGGGGTGGGGGCGAGAGAGCCCCGAGCCGTAGCCCTCCGCCCCCGGGCCACCCCTCAACAGCCCCCAGCCAGGAGGGGCGTTGGGGGTCCAGGGCGCCTTCGTCGTCCACAGACTCTAGTAGACAGAACCAAGGGACACTGTCCAGGGGAGGTGGGGGGCTCCCCGAGAACGTGCCAGCGGTGGGGTCGGGGACATCCGGAGGGCGGCGACCCGGGCACTTGGAGCGGCCCCAGGGGCAGGTGAGTTCGCGGCGCCCCCAGGGTGGGGACTTGCGTGCCGAAGTTCCCGGGCAGAGGAGGCGAGCGCCCCCGGGCGCGCGGGAATCCGCAACTGGAGAGGGGAAACTGAGGCACCGGACGCGGCGGGGCGGGGGCACTGCACCCTCTAGGGATCGAGAGACCTGGGCGACCGTAGGGGCACGCGCCAGATGGAGACCTGCCTTGGGTGGCACTGCGCCCCCAGGGGAGACCCGGGAGAGAAAGGGGCGTTCCACGCGGTGCCGGAGGCAGCGCCGGGGAGGGGAAGTCCTGGTGACCCCACCGCTGCGACAGTCCGTCAGTCGACCCCCCTCCACCCCGCCACCCACCCCGGGCCAGGGAGGGTGTCAGCGGAGATGTCACGGGAGGCAATTATTCGCTGGTGCTCGCCGTGGTGCGGCCACCGTTGACGGGGCGGGCGGAGGGGGGGGGTGCCACCTCCCGGGAGACCGCCCAGAGCTGCGCCGTCAGCTCCGCAGCCCGCGCCCCGCGCACACGCGTCGCCGCCCCCACGCGTCCCCCGCAGGAAAGTTCGGCTCAACTTTGACGCCCTGTCCCTTCCATCTCTCGGCAGGTCCTCAGCGGCCTTGGCGAAGCAGGCAGCGGCGGAAGCCCGAGCGCAGCCCCGGGGTCCCCACTCGGTGGCCGGCGGCGACAGCGGCGAAGGAGCACGCGGGGCGCCCGGGAGTGGGCGCCGGTAGGGACCCCGGAGCGCGCCTCCTGGAACGGCGGGTGGGCGGTCGCCCCGCTGGGCGCCGGGACCTCGGCCGATTGAACGGAAACTGCTCTCCAATTGATTGGGCCCCGCCGGGCGGGCGCGTGTGCCCCGGGGGAGCGGGTGCGGAAGGCAGAAGGGCAGGAAGTCGGCGTTCTGCAGCGAGGGTGGCGCGACCGCGCGGGGAACCGAGCCTTCTTTATTTATGTGCCTGCCAGAGCTCGTCAGCTTCCTCCGAAGACTTCAGGGAGAGTCTCCGAGCTGCCATCCCCGAATGTGAAGACGCAGGGCTGGATGTCAGAACATGTTTATCCATTAAACTGCAAACTTTCCTTTTTTCAAACCCAAAGAATATCGGTGGCTTTTGCCCACTGCTCGAAGAGAGAGTCCAGGGCTCTTGAGATGCAGCAGAATCCTTATTTATAACCCGGGTAGTGCTATGCAAACCCCCTCAGCTCAGTAAGTTCTCTATCCTATGGATATCGGTCTTGAGCTTTGAGATTAGATTGCACCCTCTGCACTGGGTCCTGCAACCTCCCATCCTTTCAATGCCCTGTTATTTCTGGGACTGCTGGCCTTCCCTGGAGATTAGAGCGGTCCTGTGTGCCATGGGCTGTATTCAGAGCATCGGAGGCAAAGCCAGAGTCTTCCGGGAAGGGATCACAGTGACTGATGTGAAAGCCTCCATCGACCCCATCCCCACCAGCATCGACGAGTCCTCCAGCGTGGTGCTGCGCTACCGGACACCCCACTTCCGGGCCTCTGCCCAGGTGATCATGCCACCCATCCCCAAGAAGGAGACTTGGATTGTTGGCTGGATTCAGGCGTGTAGTCATATGGAGTTCTATAACCAGTACGGGGAGCAAGGCATGTGAGTATTGCTTGGGATAGGCTGAGGGGCTGCCCGGTGAGCTTGAGGCCTGGCAGGGGCTGGAGAGGGGCTGCCCACACAGAGAGGGGCTTTAAGGGTGGGAATGGCCCCTGAGTCCTCTTGGGCCAGGTAACTCTGTGGAGCCTTTACTTGTTGATTAAGGTCCCAACTTGGCACCCCACCATTATCTTTGGCCCCCAGGATTCCTCTGTGCTTCCAAGCCAGATGCTGAGAAAACAGAAACCTGTGTTTCTTTGGCAGATGGAGTGTCAGGGCCATCAGGGGTCACCAGAGAGGCCACAACTCTGCCCCCAGGCTTAGGCCTTGGTGGGGCAGTGAGTATGGGGAGACCTCTGAAATCTCCATTCTTTTCCATATAGGGCTTTGTGATTGGGACTAAACTTGTATCTCTGGGGTGTTCAGATGCACAGCAGGCCCCCAGAGGACAGCTTTGCCTTTGTTGCCAGTAGTGGTTGGTGGCTGGTGGCAGTGTGTGTTTGAGAGGGACTTCAGAAACCCCGTTTGCTTTGCAGCGTGTAGCTTTCTGTCTCCCAGTAGAGCTCAAGGGGTCAGTTTCCCAGCATCTGGTGTCCCTCCAGGGGGGGTCCTAACTAGGAACAGCCAGAGGAGCCCGCTGGCTTCTTTGTGGCCTGGTCTCCTAGGATGACATGGGTCTCAACATGTACCCTGAGGCCCTGGGTCTTGTTTGCATGTTCTTGGACCCCAGAGTAGGCCATCCCCAAGAAGGAAAGCCTCAGATGCTCTTGGGGACAGTGACTTGGCTCGATGGCAACCCTGGGTCAGAGGTGGTAAAAGCAGCTGCTGAGACCTGGTGGCTCCCAGGGATAGACAGCTCATAGATACTGTCTCAGAGTCTTTCAGAGTCTACCTTATGTATAGATCACGTTTCGGCTTTGCAAGTGGGGAAGAGAGGTGTCTCCCAGAGAGTTGGATCTTATTGAAGAATATCCCAGGCTATTTGGTTCACAAGGGCCAAGGGTAACTGAACACAAATGGAGAAATGTACAGTCTCCATTTAGTGACTCAAGTTTGAAGGGAAACAGGAAGATAGGGTAAAACTTGAAACTGAGCCTTAACCCTGATGGCCTAAGACTGTGGGGTACATGAGGTTACTGTGGGGTATGCTCCAGCAGCCCACTTCTGCTCCCAAGCCCTTCCTTTTTTAAGAGCGCCCAGACTGCTAACTTCCCATTCTAAGACAGGCAACAGGACTCTGTTACTTCCCAAGCTGCCTCCAGCCCAGATTCTTCTCACCCCCTCCCAACCCCTCCCGGCTTTGTAAGGCATCTAGGGAGTTACTGAGAAACACAGGATTTCCTAGGGTTTCAGACTGAGGCTAACAGCTTCCCTGATGTCTTCCCTGATCTTGTCAAGAACCTGAGGTGATTTCACCCCATGGTTCTGGTCCCTCTGTTCCTGGATAGAAGAACTTTGAACATTTCAGATTCTGTGGTCACTTTCTAGGGTGTGGCCGTAGGCGAGTGCCTTATATCACTCTGAGCCTCAGTTTACTCATCTGCAAACTGGGGTCAATCAAAATTCCTTCTGCATGATTTATTGCGAGAATGGCTCAGACAACCTTTGTTCCGCAGTTAGCACTAGGCCAAGTTCATATGAATCCTGCAAGCAGGTGGCTGTCCACCTTGATGTGATTTCAGTTTCTAGTCTATCAGATAGAAGTAAACAATGGCATTTACAGCACCGAGGCTGTAGCTCCTGAGTTAGAAAAGATGTCAGCTACTTTTTATGAGTTTTCTCCCCAGCCTGGGTCCCTTACACACAGGACTTCCACTCCTAACTTTTTAAAAATTTAAAAATAGCACCAGTCGGGGATGGCATGAGTGGCCGCAGGCCATTTCCCTCACTCACAGTTTGCCCTTGGCACTGCTCTCCTGTACGTTCTTCCAGGGTGCCTTGGCTCTGAAACTCCAGGTGAGACAGGATCAGCTGCTGTGTAGGGATAGGGCAGGTGACCATCCTTTGGCAAAGATGTAGAGGAGGACACTGTTTTACCACTGGTCAGCAGAAGTGTGAGGTGCAGAATTGCTGACCTCACCCTCCCTCCAATGCCAGTACATGTGGTGCTGTGCCCATCCCGTGGAGATGCAGGGCTGGTTTGGACTAAGCCTGAACTCAGCCTTTCATGGTCCCCCTTTCTGATTGCAAATAGAAGCATCTAGATGGGGTTAAAAGAACCTTTCAATCGTCTCTCCTAGACTTTCCATCTCTGAGTTCTTAAGCCCCACAGTGGACAGTTGAGAGTAGCCAGAACCTTCTCCCAGCCAGGACTTGTCCCTCCACCCGCCTGTGCCCAGATTAGATACTTCTGGGCGCAGGACGGGGCACATCACACAGAATGCCTAGCTCTACCTATGTGTGTATCCCTCTAACTTATAACAACTACAAATGTCCGCAGACAAGGTCCCATGTCCCCTGGGAGGGGTATGAAATCAGCCTAATTGAGAACTACTAGACTCACTTCCCAAAGTGAACTTCAGGCCCTGGACATCAGTGACCCAGGGAGGGAACGGTCAGGTGGCCAAGCCTAGGTTAGGACTTGTGTTCTTTACAAATGGGCTTGTATTAAAAATATTAATTCCAACTACTTAACTGAAATCCATAATATCCCCAGCATTATCCCTGCTTGAAATTAATCTCTTAAGCCATGAGGAGGACTTGTTAGAATGACATTCTGGGCTTGAAATATTGAAAACTACCACCTCAGTCACAGCCTGACTTCACAGGGGAGAGCTGGAAGATGGAGCCTCTCTTCCACCTGCCTGAGAGCATTCTATAAGATGTTGGGTCCAACCCACAGTACTTTCAAAGCTAACCCCCCTCCAAACTGTTGGAGACACCTGCCTCCTCAGCCATCCCCCGCAATTCCTCAACTGCCACCTGTCAGCTGGCGTAGAGCCTTCTAAGTGACAAGTCACAGTTTCTCGCCTGTGTAGGAGACACTTTGCGTGTTCCTAGTTTGCCCTTCTTTGGAGCCCTCCGGGGAACCTGGCCCATTGCCAAGGCCAAGAGTGAGTGGTGTGGCTCAGGACTGTGGGGCGAGGGGAGGAGAGTGGTTCAGATAGCGTGCCTCCTTGTGCCTATGTCTGCCCACACTCCTGAGCCAGTCTTAATCTTTTGGAGCCACACTGTTCCTACCTATGAAATGGGAACACTAGCACCTCCCACCTGGCTCAGAGAGATTAGCACTGTAGAGTGCTTGGCACAGTGCTGGCGCTCTGGAGCATTCTATTCTCTCTCAGTACTGTGATCATGAATCGTGGTTATTAGTATTGGATTATCACTCTGCAGTGTGTGGCTGAGCACTGTTGAAGACCTGAGTATAATGTTGTCTGTTTATCCTTTCTCCTGGTGTCCCATCATCCTTCCTGTGTCAGCACAGCCTCAGCTCTGAGATCCTGTGGGTCACTTTGGTCCACGTTTGTGGCACCGGCTGTGATCACAAGGCTTGGTGAGACTGGTAGGAAAGTGCTAAAGGGCTTTCTTGAACTCTCTTGCTGTCTGTGGGGTGCACCCCAGGTCCTCAGGAGGGCCTCGTTTGAGGGTGACATAGACTCTGAGCCCAAATCTACCCAAGGAGGTTTGCTCAGCATGACGGATCTGGGGATGGCCCCTGGAGGAATGTCCCGCCTGGGCATGTGGCCTCTTCCTGGAGCCAGGGTCTGAGCGCCACATAGAACAATTGAGGACGAGGCTTCCTGTCTTGGGCCGGATGGTGGCCTCCCCATCTGCTGGGCCCTGGCGGAGGCCAGGGCAGGGTGGGTGGGAGAGGGAAGTCCTTGTTTCTGGGCTTAGGGTAGGAGGAAGTGGTGGGGGTGGCCCAGCCTAGGAAAGCTCCCCCTGGGCCAGCTGGGGCCAAGTGATGGTTGGGGCCTGTATTTGGCTTCTGAGGGTTTGTAGCATACAGGCTGCTCTAGGGGACGTGCAGACAGGCACCCAGGCAGCCGGAGCCATCAAGGAAAGAGCCGGGAGCCTTTCCTGCAGATCGGCTAGGATGCATATGAGAAAACTCAGGGCTCTTGTTTGGGGAGCACAGGTCTAGGCAGCAGATGCTGGGTGAGCTGTTCCATCTGTACCCAGTAGTGCAGGGCTCCCGATTTTAGGATCTGACTTTCAGAACCCTGTGCCCTAGTCTGAGCCTGGCTTCTGGAGACACCAGAAGTAGCCTAGTGAACAAGTAAATTAGCATGTGTGTGACTGTACACTGGGAAGATGTTAGCTATTATTACAGAGAGCTCAGGATAACTCAGGCATCTCACTGTTGGGGGAATTAAGTTCTGTCCACTGTGCAGAGTACAGAGAGGCAGTTAAAAACAACCAGGTTTCCATGGAAACAGTTTGTTGCATTAAAATAATGTTGGAGCCGGGCGTGGTGGCGCACTCCTTTAATCCCAGCACTGGGAGGCAGAGGCAGGCGGATCTCTGTGAGTTCAAGGCCAGCCAGGTCTACATAGTGAGTTCCAGGACAGCTGGAGCTACAGGGAGACCCTGTCTCAA